GTTCTGAGAATGCCGAGATTAGACGCGTGGCCGCCCTGCCGGGGATCACCTCCGAGATGGAGTTGGCCAAGTGTCCCAAGGGGGGGGGGGGGGGAGGGGGCCACCGGAGAGAAGCGTCCCCTTTTGTCCTGCCTTATTATTGCGCCGGAGCGGCTAGCCGGGCCGCCCAGGCTGGGAATAAAGTGCGTTCGGAAGGGCCGGGCTCGGCGTAGTTACGTATTTACATATACCCCGGCCGAGTCGGCGGCCCGGCGGTCCGTCCACCGCGAGCGTCGAGCGGCGCGAGCCTCTCCTTTCGGGCGACTCTTGAGCGCTTTCCCGCTCGCTTTGCAGAGCGCTTTCCAGCGGCCGAGCCGCCGGGCTGCCGGCCTCATTCCGGATCTCATTTCGACATTCCCGGATGACCGGCGAGGCTCCGTGCGGCTCGGCCGGCTTGTCCACAAAGCCGGTGAGGACGGGGCGGAGCGGAGAGAGATAGAGGGCGGAGATTTGGGGTGGCGACGGCCGGGCAGGGAGGAGGCCCAACCCTCTCCTTTTTTTCACCCCCGGGGGCGCAGGAAATTTGCCGCGTTCGTGTGGAATAACTCTCGGGGAGTGAAAGTGCAGAACAGAAAGGGAAGGTGCGAGCCTGCAGCCCACGGGGCCACGGGGTCCACGGGACAGAACGAGGGGACCGATTGCTTCCGACTAGCTCTGCCCTTGTCTCCCTCTCTCTTTCTCTCACACACACGCTGTCTCGCTCTCACACACAGACGACATTTCACGCGCCCCTGCCCGCCCCTGCCCGCCCTGCCCGCCCCTGCCCCTCTCTATCTCTCGGCCCATCTTCATTCCTCTTGTCGTAACCCTTTTCACGGCCGACTTTTCGCGGTCCTCCTCCACCTCCCCGTCGTCGTCCTTCTCCACGTCGTCGTCCTCGCCGGGCGGACCGCTCCGCAGTGGCCCAGCGAACCCTCGTCACAGATCTGTGATTTCAGGTGTTGGCGCTGCAGCACACGTGTTGACGGGGCTCACGCGTGGCTGAGTCGGGGCGGGGAAAGGGGAGGGGGAGGGGGCGGCCCGGCGGACGGAAAAACGGGCAAACAGGCAAACTAACAAACACAAGCACGCAAGCACACCAACACACAGACATGGAGAGCAGTCGGCCGAACGAACCCGAACTCCGAGGAGCATGTAGTCCGACCCGACCCGACCAGCCCCGGAGGAGAGTCTTCTCCCCCTCCCCTCCCCTCCCTCCGCGGCACCATGATCCTCTCCGCAGACACGACGTGCGCGACGTGACATTCATGTCGCTTTCAAACTCCCCGCGACCTACATGGCGCGGCGGTGTTTCATTGGCGGCTGCGCCGCGCCGTGACGCGCCGTGACGCGCCGTGACAGCGCGCGGCAACGTGTCACGTAAAACCCGTCCCGCCAATCCCGTTTTGAACTCGTCACGGACGAGTCGCGGACCTGTCCATCACGCCGACGAGACGAACACAGCGCCGCCTTTTTGCATGGCGTACTGGGTGTCACGCTCGACGTGGCGGGGCGGGGCGGGGCGGGCGGGGCGGGCGGGGCGGGGGCGGGGCGGCGGACTCCCACGGTGGGAGACAACGGCGGTGTGGCGGGGCGAGGAGGGTGTTCGGGATATTGCCTGTCTTGGCGGCGGGCTGGCGGCGGGCTGCTGGTGTGTGCCGCGTGCCTCCTGCCTCTGCTTCTCCTTAGAGAGACGTCATCCGTGGCAAGCCGGTGGGCTCGGCGGGGCGCGTCGAGCAGCACCACATGCAGCGGCAAAGATTTATCTAGTGCGGGCGCGGAGCGCGGACGGGCCCGGAGCCTAGCGCCCGGAGCCCAGCCCGCCGGAGCCTAGCGGAGCCTGGAGGGAAAGGAGCACGTAAGGGGCTCCACTGCAAAACGGCGGCCAAACTGTGGCGCCATGACCCTCGACGTCAACGCGCGGAAACACACGCCGATCCCCGACAGTGCAATAACCAAAATGCAGCCTGGTCGGTCTGGCCGGTCGGTGTGGCGCTTGATGAAAGAGCCGCCGATTTTGTCGCTGCACGGCGCGGCACGGCACGGCACTGCATGGAGACAGAGAGGAAATTGGGTGCCCGTTGAGCGGGGTCGGTGAGAGGGGGAAGGGGGAGCGGTCCATATGCGCGGCGCGGCTGTGTTCACATCCAGCGGGTGTTTTATGCGTCGCCCGCCCGTTCTTTTTTATCGTCAAAAGCCCGATACAATTTCACGCATTCCTTGCGCTGCGCGCGCTTGTTCGATGCGAGCGCGCTCGGCACGGATTGCTTGTTGACACGAATGGCAGGCAGGCAGCCAGACACCCCGGCGAATTCCGCTGTACGCGTCCAGCCTGCGTCCAGCCAGCCGCAGCCCGCCAGCCAGCCAGCCCGCCCTCCGCGGCGGTCGAGTGTCATGCCCACAGCGATAAATCCCGTCTGCCAATAGGCGGGCACAGTTATTCGCACGCACTATCCCCACTGTTCGCACTAATGTTGCCAGGCTGCAGCAGCTGCCGCCTGTTTGGAACGGCGCCAGTAAAGACGGGGTGGAGGGAAGCAAGACCACGATGTTTTGCAGCGTACCTGCACTCTGCGCGCCTCCGTGCACTGCGCGGCACTGCGCGCTGCGTGTCGGCGCGGTCGTCACGGACTCGGTTAACTGCTGATCTTGATGATCATGATGATCACCGCCGTGATAATGAACGCGCTGCAGCGGGCCGCGTAAAACAGGCATAAACCGACCGGCACTTCGCAGGAGGCGCACTCCAGGCGTGCTGGGGCGTGCTAGGGCGTGCCCGCCTCGCCTAGAGAGTTGTGCCCACGCTGTACCCGCCGCCGCGAGGAGAGCATCTCGAGACGACCACCGGAAGCGGACAGCAAGGCCACACTCTAAAAAATAATATAGGATTTTGTAACGATCTTGATACAAAATTCTGTAACACGTCAGTCGGATACAAAAATTTGTATCCTTGATCCTAAATTCTGTATCACGTCAAGAATGTTACGAATTTACGAATCAGTGCTTCAAAATTCTAAAACTGATACAAAATTCTGTACTTTTCGTTTCAATATTCACAATCAGTGATATAGTTCCATGTAAAAATGCGATCTTTATGCAAATAACTGTAACTGATACAGAAAACCGTACATATCGTTACAAGTTTACATATCGTCTGATGCAAAAATTAATAACGCAAATTTAAAGTCAAATTACGAGCTTAATTCTAACATCACAGTTGATCAGGCGAAAAGTCCTAACGTGGGGCATAGTACTTTAGAAGCTTCGGGCCAGGAACTCTAACTGTCGCGCCGCAGGGCTCGTTTCCCACCACTACTGGGCATGCAGCGTGCCCGCTCGGTGTCATCGACAGTCTGAGGCGTGCCTCCCATACGGCGCTGTGGCGCAAGCGGTAGCATGCGGAGCTGGCAATCCGGGGGACCGGGGTTCGGTTCCGGAGAACGCAGCTCGGTTTCTCCGGGTTTTCGGGAGCACAGGCGCGACGGAGCGAACGTGTAGGAATGAACGATCGTTGAGATTCAAATTTTGTTTATAAAACGACAAATTTTTCTGATTTTTGCATTGCAGAATTCTGTAACCGGGAAACAGTTTACCGTGACGCGTGATATAAAATTTTGTATCAGTGCTGATACAAAATTCTGTAACATTTGTAGTGGAAATTACTGCGTAACCATGTTACAGAATTTTGTATTGAATTTTTTTGAGTGCACCGCGTCAATGCCACCCCCATTCCCTTCCTACCGTTTCCAGTGTAAGAGCGTTTGGCGGGGATACATGTCAAATGTCCGTGTCCGATGATGGAGGGTGTGTGCCTCGCCACAGACGTGCCGCGGCGCCATCGCCGGCCGGCCGGCCTGCAAAAGTTGGCCTGCCTCTCCGGACTCCGGACGCGGTCGTCGCGGTCGCGCCAAGCAAGTTTAACGCGTGCGGATCAAGTTGACGACACTTGCCAACGACTCGCCGCGGAGCTGCGGACGGCCGACTTCCGAAATACCCGCTGATGGGCCTGATGGGCCTGATGGGCCGAGGGGGCGATAAACGCTGCTTGGCGCCGCGGCCGCTGGAGGGCGCTAGCGGCGCGGTGGCGGCGCGGTGGCGCGCGGAGGGGCCAAGGGACGCGGCGCTACGCGGCACCAGCTCGTCAGCCAGGTGCGGCTCGCGGGGCTCCACGGCTCCCCTGTCAAACATCGCCGCATTAATATTTGAAGCCCGCCACGCCCCGCCGCCCCGGCCCGCCCCGCTCTGCCACGCCCCTCTCGAGACCACGGTGACGGCGGCGAAGCCTTCCAAGACAAGAGGCCCCGGCCGGCCCAGGCCTTGGCCGCGAAGCTGAGTGAGCCACGTCGGCGTTTTGCAGTTACGCAACGAAGGCGATACGCCTCCTCCACGACGACTGACCCCTGTCTCAAAGCGACCCTCCCCCCGCCTCCAAGTCCCCCACAGGGGTGTCCGCTTCGTGGAATTCCTCTGACCGACTTTGTCGAGGGGCCAGAGCAGCGCCAGGTCGGGCGCACGGTGGCAGGTGTACAATTGTATCACCCCTCCCCCCCTCCGCTACGCCACCCCGCCCCCCCCACCCCCACCCGCCTGCTGACAAGTCGTTATTAAGGTCGCTCGGTTGAATCAAAGTTCGGCCGGCTAAACACGTCGCCCCGCCGCCGTGCGTAGAGCAGTGCGGCAGTGGGGGAGGCCGCTTTAATGAAGGAACCAGAGCAACCAGAGGAACCAGAGGAACCAGAGGAACCAGAGCAACCAGAGGAACCAGAGGAACCAGAGCAACCAGAGGAACCAGAGGAACCACCTGCTGCAGCCCTGCCACGCCAGCCAGGGACGCAGTAGTTACTGTATTTCGCTCACGGAAACGACTTTCACCCCGGACTTGCCCGCTGGATTTCGTGGTCCCTCCGGTTCGTAGACAACAGCCTGACAGATGTCGCCTAAAAAGAAAAATATTCACAAAAAAAAACTTTTGAAAATCTTACCAAAGAAGACGTTGAAGATGTAGAGGAGTTTCTTCTTGCGGAATTCGGAGATGCTGGTCATCGTGGAGGGCCTGCAACACACGGAACACATGGACCTCAGTATTATTATTTTTCGCTCGCAGCCAACAAGAACAACCTCGCCGCCTACATGGGAAAGTGCGATAAATTATTACGAAGATTGCGTCTGGCCGAGCAGCTGGGAAAGACGCGTCGCAAATTAGCCGTGTGTCCGTGTGTGTGTGTGTGTGTGTGTGTGTGTGTGTGTCCGCCTGTTTCTGTGTGTGTGTGTGTCGTTGTGTGTGCTTGTGTGCGTGTCTGGATCCTATTCTCAGACGACGAAGACGAATTCGGTGTCTCGGTGGCGCGGGAGATGGGGGTCCTGGAGTCCTGGCTCGTCGCAAAGCTCCATGATGAGCACCAGTTGTCACAGTGTGGCGTGGCGGCGCCCACAGCCATGCAGGCCCACCCCTGTCCGGCGACCCCGACCCAGGACACACACACACACACACACACACACACACACACACACACACACACACACACACACACACACACACACACAAGTAGTTGGTGCACTCCACCATCCATCTGCCTCTGCTGCATGTCTCAGACCGCGGACGCGTCGGAGGTGTCCGGGATGAAGCGGGGCCTAAGTGTGCGCGCGTCGGTGTGAGTGGGGAGTCTTTATGTGCCTGCCTGTGCGAAACGCATGCCTGCGTGCCCGCCACAAGGTCTGCGCTGCACAACGGCACGGGGCTAAACTCTCTTATTTCACGGGTCCCCGCCTCCAGCGTGCTTTGGCGCCCCTTCTTGTGTGTGTGTGTGTGTGTGTGTGTGTGTGTGTGTGTGTGTGTGTGTGTGTGTGAACCTGCTGCAGTGGCTGTTTTGCCGTTGAGCCAAACCAGGGGCGCCAGGGTTGCCAGCCAGGCCTACCAAAGGCAAGGAAAGTCGGTGCCGTGTAACTCTGAGCCGCGCCGAACCACCGGAACCACCGGAACCACCGCAGCGTAGAGTCCGAGGCCGCAGCACCGTGAGCACCGCGCACCGCTCGCGGCTCACACTCTACACGGCCTGCCCGCCCTGCGGCCCTGCGGCACTACACGGCCTACCGTGACCAGCCCGCTGCGCCTCCGGCCCCGCCCGGTAGCTCTGGGCTGGGCTTTGTGCTGCTCGGCCCCCGTGCTCGGACGAGGGACCGCTTGGCCTGCACTGCCAGCGGGCTGGCCGGCCGGCGGAACCGGAAAAAACATAAACGGGAAAGAAATGTTCAAAAATAAATTGGGACGAGGAGTAAGTGAATAAGCGGGACGTACTTCCTCGAAAACTGCAGGCTTGGCGTGGCCCGGTCGGTGCCCGCCCGGCTCGAGGCAGTTAGCAGTCTGCGGTGCTCAGAAATGGCATAAACGAAATGAGACACCGAGGGGGAGGGGGCCGCCGTCCGACTGCGCGACGATAATTAATGTACAAACAGTGCCTTGCCTTCCCTTCCGCCCGCCCCGCCCCGCCCCGCCCCGCCCCGCCCCGCCCCGCCCCGCCCCGCCCCCGCTCAGACCGTGTTCCTCCCTGTCCGGCGGCGCGGCGGCGCGGCCACTCCACTCGGCCGGCTAAATGGCGACTCATTAGACGCGGCGTCCTTCGTTAAATCCCAGCAGACTGCCCAGCAGACTGCAGGCTGGGGCTTAGCGTCTGCGTCTCGCGACGCGTCCCGTCCGCCGGCTGGCAGGCAAGCAGGCAGGCAGGCAGGCAGGCAGGCAGGCCCCCCAGCCGCCGCGACGTGTGCAAACTGCCGTTTCATTCAGTTAATCCTCCCGGCATTGGTGACGACAAAAGCATGAGCGACGGCATTAGAGGACGCCGCCCCACGCTGGACGCGATGTCACAGAAAGCCCTCTTCACGCACGCAGACACGCGCGCGCACACATACACCATACCCCCCCCCCCACACACACACACACAGACACATGTCCGACGCCTTGGGATCACCACCACGCCCCACCCCGCCCCGCCCCACCCCGCCCTGCCCTGGTCCTGCTGCCGGCCTGCGCCCACTCCTATCCCCATTCTAGTTCACGGCGACTTTATTGAATCGGGAGTGCAGGGACAGAGGGTGCCGCTTCCTCGGTGGCGATAGGGCAGCCCTGCTGTGTGTGTGTGTGTGTGTGTGTGTGTGTGTGTGTGTGTGTGTGTGTGTTGTGTGTGTGTGTGTGTGTGTGTGTGTGTGTGTGTGGTCTGGCTGAATAAACAATGCGGCACACTTACTGCTCCTGAAGCCAGCCTAGGCTGCCGAGGCTGCTGGCGTAGGCAGTGGCGGGGCACCCCAAAGCCCCACAGAGATAGGACAAGGCCTGCCTGCCTGCAGGCTCATTCCGAGCCGCAGGACGCGTCGGTCTGTCTCTCTCGCACTCACACGGAGCGGCGGAGCGGCCCGTGAGTGCGAGAGGGAGCGAGAGTCCCTCCCGTTCGGAATCAGTCTGCCTAGGCCCACCGCAAAGGGCGGAGCCAGCAACCACACTATCTGCCACCTCTCCGCTCGCCCGTCTGTCTGTCTGTCTGCCCGAGTGTCTGTCCGCCCGTCTGCTTGTTGGTTTGAGTGTTTGTCTGAGTGTTCGTTTGTGTGTCTTTCGCCTCCCTTCCTTCGAGAAGACATTGTTGGAACTCCGCCGCGCCCCTCCACCCCGCGCGCCGCGCGCTCCCTGCGGTTGTTCCCCAGCCCGTGCAGTTGTTGTATCCGGTCTTCAAAAGAACAGAGGGAAGACCGAAACCACTGAAAAAGATGCAACCCCGAAAAACTTGACCGCCACACGGCGCTGCTCGGTGTCGCCAGTGGTGTGGCCCATGCCGGCGGGGCCAGCCAAGGGGGGCCCAGGGCAGGGCGGGGCCTCGCGGCGTCCACGCGTCCCGCGTTTTCAATCACAATCGCGTATTGACGCGGCGCCGCTCTCCAGCCGTAATCCGAGCAAACGGCAGCGGGGCGCGGCGGGCCGGCTCTCATCGCGAATCGCAACAAATGGCTGCATCAGTGCGGCGCCGCTCCACGCCGCTCCGAGCGCGCGCCGCCGCACGCTGCACGCCCCCTCCGCATTTATTATCCTCGCCTCCCTCTTTTCCGAAAGCATGGAAGCGTGGTGTTTGCCCAGACGAAATGCGCATTCTTTCTTCATCGTAATGAACACTTCCTCTTTTGTGTGTGAGTGTGCGCGCGCGCGCGCGTGCGTGTGTGTGTGTGTGTGTGTGTGTGTGTGTGTAGTGTTGCAAACAATGGCGGACGCCCCCCAATTACTTGCCGGCATAAATCAATGAGTCTCTCCGCGTGCTTCACAATGCTTGCCCTCCCCACCCTCCCTCCCCCTCCCCCCTCCCCTCCCCCCTCCCCCCCTCCCTCCTCCCCTTTCACCGTTACACAGTGCGTTCGGTAATTCATCATGGCAGCGTTTTGCAACCAAATTGTCGGCTCGGTTTTACGACGGCTGTTCAAATCCGAGTGCCGTGCCGTGCAGTGCAGTGCCATGGCAGTGCAGCGGTGTCTGCGGATTTACGGCGCTGCGCGAATCGCTCGGCGCGGTTGGCCGTTTTTCCGTTATGGCACACTGTAGAGCCGGACGAGGGCGGCAGGCAGACAGGCAGACAGGCAGGCCGGCTGCCTCGACCGCCCCGCCTACCTTAAGGCAGCCATTTCGGATGCAAAGGCAAGCCAAGGCAAGCCAAGGCAAGCCAAGGCAAGCAGGGGTGGCAAAGCTCAGCTCCGCGCCGTCCGCACTATACTCGCAGGGCGGGACTAATCTAGATCTGCAGGCCACTCCCAAACCACCACGTTGCAACCCCGTACTTTTTACCGCGTCTCCGCAGGCGCTGTCTGTCTGTCTGTCTGTCTGTCTGTCTGTCTGTCTGTCTGCGTGTCTGTCTGTCTGTGTGTGTGTGTGTGTCTGTGTGTCTGTCTGTCTGTCTGTCTGTCTGTCTGTCTGTCTGTCTGTCTGTCTGTTGTCTGTCTGTCTTCTGCCTGTCTGTTTGTGTGTTTGTTTGCCTGTCCTCGTGCTTCTATGCTGTGGCAACGGAGGCCTCCATTTTTCCCCCGCCGCCAGCGCGGGGTGGCAGCAGAAGGACGGACGTCGTCGGGGGCGGCGGGGGGCGGCGGGGGGCAGCGGGGGGCGGTGCGCCACCACTGGAGGCTGAAACTGGATTTTCGGTCTGCCTAGCTGAGCTGGCCCAGCCCGAGCCCAGCCCGAGCCCAGCCCGTTTCAAGTCAAACGGAGCGTGGCCGACAACTTGCCAAATCCGTGGCGTGACGTGGCTGTGTGCCGCTGGTGCCTGTTGATACGCGGCGAGCAGCTCGCAGCAGCTGTCGTCAACTTTGTGGCAACTTTCCGGGAAAGTCCCATGACGCCGAGTCGGCGCGGATCTAAGCCTACCGCGAAAAAGGAAAACTCAAATGAAAGAGAAAGCAGTCGTTTTGGGGGACGTCATTCGTGGATCGACTTCAATTTCCCCATTTGGCAAAACTTTCAGTATATAAATCGGCCTTTAAAAAAAACATTGGAAAAATACGAGTGCGGTTTGCTGTCCTGATTGAAATGTGACAGCGCGGGCTGTTTGTAGGCGCTCTGTGGCGGCGCGCCGCTTACTACGGAAACCCTCCGAAACCGGACATGTATCAGTGAATATGGTATCGAAATCCTCCCCTCTCCCTCCCCGCTGTCGGCGCGTCGGCCCGCCGTCGGCCCGTCGGCGCGCTGTGAGTGATGGCCCCTGGACCCGATAAGGCAACACGACACAATGCGGCCCGGCCGCGAGGGCCGCGAGGAGGCGGCGGAGGCCGTGGCGAAGGTGCCCAGGTTATTTGAAAGGGCCTCGGCGGGCCTGGAGGTGTCGGCCTCGGCGCGGAAGCCCTTACCAGTGTGGGGCGGCGGGGCCCTTCGCCTGGTTGACGGAGGGTGATCCATGTGATCTATCGCGCGTATACGACAGCCCCACCACGGCGGCACCACGGCGGCGGCCTCCATGGGCGGCCTGCGGGGCGAGCGGAGGGCGAAAGGTTGTCGGCGGGGAGATTGGTGGCTGTGTAGCCGCAGGCCCT